AATTATAATTTAAGTTGTAAATTTACGACAGCACATTTTTTACTCGCCAAGGGATTTGAAGTCGATACATACTGCATGTATTTTTACGATTACAAATTGTAATTTAACAACTTGCGTCAAGGAAAATTTTCCTGTAAACCTACCTCCTTTTTTCGCAGTGTATTTTGTAATCCCAATCTACAAATATATTGTAAATTTGTGACAGACGATTCTCGCGTGTCAATAAGTTTCATTTGATACGCTTTTCTTGTAATTTTACAACACACGCATCATAGAAAATTTTCCTGTAATACTTACAAATTGTTTTCATTGTGGGCAAGCTTTGCAGACTGTAACTCAATAACCTGTCCTGCCCTCAGGTTCAACATGCCCGAGCCCATCTACGTGAACCTGGTGCGCGACCCGGTGGAGCGCGTCATCTCGTGGTACTACTACGTGCGCGCGCCCTGGTACTACGTGGAGCGCAAGCAGGCCTTCCCGGACATCCCGCTGCCGGACCCGGCCTGGCTCAAGAAGGACTTCGAGACGTGCGTGCTTCGCGGCGACCGCGAGTGCCGCTACCTGGAGGGCGAGACGCACGAGGGCATCGGCGACCACCGGCGGCAGTCGCTCTTCTTCTGTGGCCACTCCGACTTCTGCACGTAAGTACCCCGTCGCGCTAGTTGCGATGTAAGTACTCTGTGTCCCGCCCCACGTATACCCAGTGCGCATGATGCTGTTTGAAGGCCCTTCAACACTGTCGGGGCCCTGGAGCGCGCCAAGAGGGCCGTGGACCAGCACTACGCCGTGGTCGGCATCCTGGAGGACCTCAACTCGACGCTCACTGTCCTGGAGCACTACGTGCCGAGGTTCTTCAGAGGCGCCAGCAGAGTCTATTGGGGTGAGTCCAAGCACGAGCTCGCCCACTACTCAGTCCTGAGGCAGATTATGGCTTTAAGTTGACCACTGTGTTCTATTTTAAACAGACGAAGTAGACCGCTTCACGCGGATCAACAGAAATCTCTTCAAGCCTCCCGTCAGCGAGGAGGTCAAGGACATTGTGAGAGCCAACTTCACCAGGGAAGTGGAGTTCTACAACTTCTGCCGGCAACGACTACACCGACAACTTCTTGCGCTCCGACTGCCCGACACCAAATGAGCCGAGAGTGCGTCGATCGTGTTTCAAAAACCAAATGTCGTCTTTTACCAAATTTTGTAAAGGCAAGAAAAAGAGCTAAATGTGTGGTCCAAGTACCTACTTATCTGGGAAACGTCCTGAGAAAATGTCAATGAGCAGAAAGGGGCATTTTATGCCAATGCCATGATAGCATGGTTTGCTGTTCAGGACCTGTGGAAAGAGTCCAAATTAGCGATTTTTAATCGTGGGTTTTGAATTTTGTTGGTGCCAATTGTTGAAGTGATGTTGAGTTTGATATCATTTTATGAAGGCTGGGTGAAATCAGTCACTTAACTAAAAAAAGCAAGCCAGGAGAAATCATTTCAAATAACATACAAAATATGCAGAATTTTGTTTACATGGCCCTTTATAATATCTTTTTGAAGATGAGCACCTGTTGTGCTTATCTCATGCTGTTACCATTGAATCATAAAATTTTACCATTACAGTTCCAAGCTTGTAATTCACACATTAAGGTTTATACTACTTAAGGATTTAGTGTCACCAAGCACAATAATTATTTGTGGAAAACTTTGCCAGTATTTTGTTATTACTGTGCAATACAAGCCACCAATTTGTTTTGATAAGATGCTCCAATTTTTGGTCAGAACTTTGTAAAATTTTATGTTTGTGCAGTGACTCATAGATTATAAATCTATGAATTTTTTCTTGTTATATTTTGTAGGCATATTTTCAACATTCCATGTTCAGTTTAAAATATCTTACATCATATTCATCATGTGTTCAAACTGAAATTCAAGCTTACGTTTGTTTTTAATTTATTATGTTCTACTTTGTTCTAATTCAGTTCAGGGTGTGACAATTGCATCGGCTATGCTGTTGTGACTTAGACGTATTTATTTTCTGTGTTCACGATTTCAGATGAAGTTCTGGATTCAGTGTTATGTGATTTCCTTGTGATTATCTTTAACTGTGTGAATGTGCCCTCACTGTAGTTGTAGATGTAAGTGTAAATGTATGTGTCTTTGGTATTCTTCAATTTTTGTACATATACCAATATTAAAGAAAACTTGTTTTCTCAAATCGTGCTTTCTTTTTTGCCCCTCGCTTAGTTCGCCGGAGTGGTGTCAAACACCTCTCAACTCCGAGGCCCAAGGAGTATATATGGGTACGGCCCGCCGCCGTCGATACCCCCGCTGCGACGAGAGCCTGGTCTTCCCTGTCCGTCCCGTTCGCATTGGTCGACAGGAACGGTTGCCAATACCCCGGTTCTTCGAGCATGGGGTAGTGCGACGAGACGAGGCCGCCGCTTCTTTAGTAATGGAAGTAGTGGAAGTCACCGAAACAGCTCAGCCAATCTTCTTCTCCGTGATGATAGCTGCACTCAATATTGGAGTGTTCGACTGGGAAGCACCTGCCGTTCAATGCAAGCAGGTGTTGAACTGGAACTTTTTACGTTTGCAAGCAGTGATAAACACTATTAAGTGCGCAAACTGTACGCTAAGCACCAGAATTGAGCATTTCAAAGTGTTCAACTTTATGGTTCAAAACTACTTGCAAACATACAAATTCCCAGTCAAAAACCAAATGGTACCCAAAACAGAGTTGAACACTTCTATGGTCACGCTTGTTGACCACCGTAAAATATCAGTGACAATTCCAAAAAGACAATCCTCCACCACCACCACTACCACCACTGCCGCCACCACCATACGCAGAACTGGAGAAAAGGGGCAGCTCGTCCTCGGCACGGAAAGGAGCAGCTGTTATTAGCGAGTGTCCGCTGACCTCAAATTCACGACGGTTATTCTCCTGCAACTCTTCTTACTTGCGAATCCAGTCGCGTGGAGCAGCCCGCCGCGCGCATCGCGACATCTTGACCAACCAGCTGACCCTCCCTCCCTCCTCCCTCCGCATCACCGCACGCACGCACGCGTTGCGACAAAAGGGCGGGCCGCCGGGACTGGACGGACGCGCACTCTCGCGTGACGGACGTTTACGGCCTGAGATTAGGCGACTTAAACTTACTTAAATGATTCCCGGATATGAACCGGTTTCTTTTTATACACAGCCTCTTGTTTGTAACGACAGAATCTTGCGGTCTCCATCACCAACAATTATACTAAACATGTGCCTCCATAATAAGACTCCTTAATTCGAGTAAATTTGCACTGTGAGTGGTGCAAGTGTATACTTCAGACACAATGCACTGTCCTCTTGTCGTTTACTTGATTAGGGGACAGTCATTTAATTTTTTAATTTTTTGTGGATTGTCATGGTCAATCTGAGTCTGAATGCGACACCTGTACCTAGGTCCTAGCCTTGAATCGCGCACATTTGTTTCCCTTGGATTTCCCTTTGCCTTGTCTTGTTTGTATCTTTTGCGTCAGTTATATGGCCCGCGATAAACCAAACTACAACACCGCCTAAAATTGACCCCCGCCTCCCCCTCCCTGTTTCGCTTGCGCGCCCACGCCCCGCATCGCAATATGGCCCAATAAAAGGCGTCAGTTGTAGCACTTCTCTCTCCCATTCAATATAAATGGTTGACGCAACCGCGCGACCGTGAAACGCAAACGAGCAAAAAGAGAGGGAGGATGGTTGGACGGCCCCGGCCCTGGGCCTCCTGGACCCAAGGCGTATCGCACCGATGTTAATTACCGTCATTTTCGCGATGGATCCAACGCGGCCCGCGTGCGCGCGCCCGTGTACTCTGGAGGAACGATTCTACTACATGCGCGCGCGCGCGTCGGGTCTGGAGCAGGCGCTGGAAAAAAAGAACAAGAGGGACAATAATGGAGACAAAGTATACGTTACCTTGTGCTCTCGGCTCGCGGCTTTGTGGCTTATGCGACAATCAGGGAGTCGCGGCTGCTGCCGATTTCGCAGTCGGATCACGGCGCGCGCTATCGTTTGCGTGTGTGTGTGTGTCGTGTGTGTGTGTGTGTGTGTGTGAGAGAGAGAGAGAGAGAGAGAGAGAGAGAGAGAGAGAGAGAGAGAGAGAGAACGGGACAGGACAGGGACGGCTACACGAGGTGTATACACCGCGGCACGGCACGTCCGATGCCATCAGGGATGTCGTCACACGTTCGCGTTGAGGCAGGGCAGAGGCCGTGCACCACGCCGCCGCGTGCTCGCTAGGCTACTCTCCGCGCGCGCGCGCTAAACGCCACCGACGCCGACACGACGACACAACCTCGTCGTCGTCCTGGCCTGGTCCATACAATACACACAAAGGAACTCGAGCCCCGCGAGCTCCGCGCCAACGAGCCAACCAAGCGATCCTCCGGACGAGGCGCGCGCGCGGTCTCTGCGGTCTGCGCCTGCGCCTCGTTAGAGCTTCCAGTCCGTCGAGAGATTGATGGCGGGAGAGGAGAGGAGTGCCTCCGCGGCGGGGGTTTTTGCTCAACGGCGCCGCTGCAACCTGGGCCACCTGGTGGGCCACCTGCACGAGCACAGCTGCTGCAGCCGCGGAAGCATCACGGCTGTCGATGCGAAGTGATGCTGCTACAATGGGGGAATTCCGGCGGAAGATTCGTTCCGGCTGCTTGACGCCCTGCTGTCTGAGAGAACAATTAAGTAGAATATGGGAAAGGAGCACTGTTAAAACATTCCGAAGAAAAATGCCAAATCCTTCGTAGGATTTGGCAGTTTGCAAAAATACGTAGGATGTAGCGTTTGTGGGATTTGGCATTCTTGGGATTTGGCATTCGAAGGATTTGGCATTTGGCTTCGTAAGGTTTTAGCCGTGATGAACTATTCGAAAAATGTATGGGGCGCTGCAGCTATTTTAACTTCTTCCCTTGGTGAATTTCGATTTTATCTTCCGCGTGCGCTTCTCTTTCTTACATCAGTGACAGCGGCGCGGGAGCCTGCGCGTGACTCGCCTCATGGCGTGAGGTAGGTCAGGCGGCTGGTCGCTCGGTCCGAGGCTCGGTCTGTCTCAGCAGCTGCAGCCATTGGCCGTTGGGCCATTCATTCCGTGGATTACCCCAGCACAGGTTTCGGACATGAACCGAGCTGGGCGGAGCTGGGCCCGTCCCGTGTGCAGGTGGAAGGCGGACAACATCCCGAGGGACAACGGGGAGAGGAGGTGGTGGTGCGCACGGCAGGGGGGCAGGGTGCATGATCGGTGATCAGTGTCCTGGCAAGGACGGACGGAGACAGGAGAGAGAAATGGGATGGGAGGGGAAGGGGGAAGGGAGCAGCGGGGAGGTGGAAGATGGAAGGCAGACCAGAAGGACGAGGAGTGCGAGAGAGGGGGCGGACGGAGGAAAGGGAGGGGGCGGAGGCCGTTAGGCAACGCCCTGGCGCGCTCGCAGCACGGCCGGGGTCGCCGCCGACTGGCAGTCACCCATCGTTTGTTCCTCGGTCCAGACAAGCCGGGCCGTGTGCGTGCACGGACCTCACAGGCACGCACGCACGCACGCACGCACGCACGCGGGCTCGCGCGGTACGCTTGTCCAGGCCGCGCATGCGCGCCCCGAGCCACGGCGGCGCGGCCTCGGTCGATACGGGAGGCCACCCCCACTGGGCCCGCGCGCCGCCTCGAGGCGGAACCTAGACTGCGTGCCGTTTGTTGTTGTTTCGAGTCCAGTCCGGTTCGCGTTTTCGAAAAATCGTCGGTGTGCCTTTGTGAAGGTACTAGTTCGCGGACGAGCGGGACGCCGCGACGGTCATAGACAGACAGTCGCAAGACGTTCCCGCGCACCAGCCCCTCGCCAGGCGCCGGCTTCTTGTGATCGAAGAGAGTGAGGTTAGGCGGCCGCGGGTGGGCGGGCTGCGCGGCGGCGGCAACGGCCGGGCCTGCCAGCCGAGCTGTCTGTCAGCGTCAAGCCACAGCAGACGACGGCGAGAGGGAGGCGGCTGACCAGGCGGCGATGGCGGCGAGGAGGTGGGCGAGTCTGGTCGGCGCGCTAGCCGCGCGCTGAGCGGCGGCCCGCGCCCGCGAACAGCCCGGCGACCCGCGAGCGGACGACTCGGGACGGCGGCAGAGGCAAAGAGGTAAGAGTGCTGTTTGGGCGGCCGACCGCGGTGAAAATATCGCGTTTCCAATTTCGGTAGAAAAAACGCAGCGAGTTGATTTTAGAAAAAAAAATAAGGTCATCTTGGTACTTTAGATATCTGGTCAGGACGATGGCAGGCATGACCACACTGTGCTCATGCCACAGTATATACGTACCGTACGTGGAGCTCTAAACACGCCCAACCGTGCGCTCAATACGAAGTTAAAATGTTAAGCGCGGGACCTTTACCCCCTCTGTCTTGACCTGCTTGCTTGACCATAGTCTTGTCAACCCGCTCATTAATGGGCACTAATCACTACCGCATTTTTTGTGTGTTTTCGTTTATCAAAATAAATATGTGGCTGTGAAAAAAGGAGACAGAGATAAGGCCTGGGCTGCGCTGGTGTGAGTGTGCGCGTTGGCGCGCGCGCGACGCACCAGGGGTTTGGGTAGGCCGTCGACGGTCACCCGAGCGCAGCGGGTTGCCTATCACCGCATCTGCAGGCGCCGAGCCTACGTCGCCTCAACGGCGGAGTACCGTTTCCCACTTTTATTTTAATTTTTTGTTGGACGAGTAAGGTTTGATTCGCCGCAGGGACGGAGCAGGGCAGGGTCGTTGTTGTAACGGCGAGAAAATACCGTCGGTTAGTGCAATCCTCCTCCATGCCCCGGCCGTATCCATGTGTGGAGGACCTTGGCGTGCGCGAGTGAGCACCGCGAGTGAGGGAGTGAGAGAGACGGCGAGAGAAAGAGAGAAGTATGGAGAGGGGAGGGGCAGCAGCGCCTTAAGGGAACTGGTCAGGAGAGTGAAACGAGAGAGACAAGAAGGAAGGAAGAGAGAGAGGGAGACGGGGCGACGCGGTGTTCGAGTGTTGGAAGGCCATGGTCGTTATAAACATGAAAACGAGACGGGTTCTCCAAAGGCGCTGGTGGGCGAGCTGGTGGTGGCCCGCACACTGCGCAAACAAACTCGAGTCCTGGCGGCGCGGCGGCGTCACCCGGAAGGCTGCACTGGCCTGGCCGGCGCAGACTCCACACTATGCGTCCGCCGGGATATCATAGCCGGGCCCGGCGACCCGGTGCCCCTGGCATACCGACCCACCGGCCAGCCGGCCGCTCCCGACATGCAAATGAGCGCAATCAACGGCCCGTGCCCGGTGCCCCGTCCGCAAAGGATTGTCCTGGCGAGCGTTCTGTTCTGCGGGGAGGAGGCTTTCTCCAGCTCCACCTCAGCTGGCGCCGCGGACCTCGCGCGCGCCGGGCCCACTGCCCGCCTAAGGGGCCGACATACATGTCACGCCTTAATGGACCGAGTGCATGCCGTCGGCGTGCGCAGGGAGTTTACGGGAGTGCACCGCGACCTGCACGGTGGCCAACGCTCAAGCAGTGGCAAGGCCTCCGGCTGAAAAGTGATGTTTATGAACTGCGATTTCTAACGAAATGCCAGATCACTTTACCAGCACTCGTTGAAATGCAACATTCACTAAATAAAACGGCAGCTCCAAATTTCCTATCGTCCCTGACTAAGCCGCTTTACTTGCCTTAGGGCACATCTTTTTCACACATTGAGGGTTTGGCTTAATTGTGCAGTTGGCTAGAAGCAAAGTCAGGCCCTGGACCGCCGCTCGGTCCTTGGCTGCTCACACGTGCCTCCGCTATACGGTCCCACACGCACGGCGCCCCGAGGAGACGTTTGTCACCGGGACACCCGTGTGACAATCCGATAAGGCCAAACGCTCGCCGCGCTCTCTGCCGTAACGGGCTCGTAACGTTAGCCGTCTCGTTTACCGCTGGACCTGCGCCACATTGGACGTTTATCGTATATTTTGGCCCCCACTCCAACGACCCGCTCGCCCGCGGGACTGAGTGAGTAGTCTGCTGGAGGGTCTAGGTGCCGCTTACCCCCCC